TAGAAGCATGTGGAAAGGAAAGGAATAAGGGACAAGGCGAAGGCTTAAAAATAAAAACAAAAAGAACGGAAGCGAGAAATGACGAATATTCCCGAAAAACTTAATGTCGAAAGTGAACGGATAAATAGCGGAAAGTTATAACTAAAGGTGAGATGAAAAAAAAAAAATCCTGGTGCAGGCTGTTAGTCCCCAATCGGGCTATCAGTAATCTGGTTTAATCAATAGTCCGGTTTAATCAGTCATCTCGTTTAATCAGTAGTCCGGTTTAATCAATACTCCGGTTTAATCAGTCGTCCCTATCAATCAGCAGTCCTGTTTAATCAGTAGATCCGTTTAATCAGTAGTCCGGTTTAATCAGTCGTCCCGTTTGATCAGTAGTCCGGTTTTATCAACCATTCTGTTTGATCAGTAGTCCGGTTTAATCAATAGACCTGATTAATCAGTAGATCCGTTTAATCAGTAGTCCGGTTTAATCAATCGTCCCGTTTAACCAGTAGTCCGGTTTAAGCATTAGTCCTGATTAATCAGTAGATCCGTTTAATCAGTAGTCCGGTTTAATCAGTCGTCCCGTTTAACCAGTAGTCCGGTTTAATCAATAGTCCTGTTTAATCAGTAGATCCGTTTAACCAGTACTCCGGTTTAATCAGTCGTTTCGTTTAATCAGTAGTCCTGTTTAATCAATAGTCCTGTTTAATCAGTATTCGGTTTAATCAATAGTCCGGTTTAATCAGTAGATCCGTTTAATCAGTAGCGCCGTTTGATCAGCAGTTCCGTTTAATCAGTATTCCCGTTTAACTAGTAATCTGACGCTAATTTCTGTGAGAGCAATTTTAAAATTCCCGGGCCGTTGCACTGGCGTCATTAGCTGCTGCTTAATCTGTTTTTGAGCACTTTCAAACACTGGTAAAGCATTTCCACTTGTCGTTTCGTTCAGTTTAAGGTTCGAATGAATACAGGAGGGGCTTCTGAAGATGTAAATCGCTAACATATGTTCACTTGATTTAACAAAAGGCAAACATTATTTTTCCTTTATTAAGGGCTTGACAAGTTTGATACCCACAGGACAGATTGAATGCTAAACGGGCAGCGAAAAACAACGCATCATCTTCTTGACCAGCTTGATTAATTGTTTTTGATTGATTGATTCGTTTTTTACGGCTTACCAACCTTTTGCAGCTTATTTAAAACCAGAAATATTTTTACATTGTAAGAATTTGGTGGTGGTGGGAGGGAAATAAAAATGGTTTTGTGATATTATCTTTACTAATTAATCTAAACTTAACAAAGTTTTATCGTCAAAATCTTTACGTCATTATTAAGAGGAAAGACCAAAGTATTTTTGGATTATTAAATTATATTTTTTATTCTTTTCAAAACGTTCGAAATTTCTGTAAAAATTTTTTTTTTTCTTTCGCAAACGGATTAGTCAAAAGGTTAGTTTCTGGTTTGGTTTGTTTTACGGTATATAAACCTCAATGGGTTATTTAATGCCGACAAGTTTTTTATTGCTGCTGATATTTTTTCAAAAATGTATTGCTGCTAATAATGTATTACTGATATTAAGTTTTTCCTTCAAAAATGTATTGCTGGTGATATTTTTACAAAAATTTATTGCTGGTATCAAAGTTGATTAAGTTTGGGTGTCAAATATTTGTCCATATTTGGGATCCTAACAGGTACTACCACCCCGGGTCAGGGTGGACCTGGAAACACAAGAAATTACGAGTTGGTTACACGTTCCTCAAAACCTCCTGTTCAGATGACTTTCTGTTGGATGTAGTTTATCGTCATACCCAGGACGATAAAGATTAGTACAAGAAATTTTAGCGTTTTTTTTTGTAATAAATACGTGGATTTGGAAATTCTTGCAAAAATCAAATATTTGCCTGATTTTAATGCAACTATCAGGACCTATTTACAAATGAATTACATCATTTTAGAAATATTTCTTTTTAAGAAAATCTTGGTAAAAACATATTTTTTCTACATCTGTTACTCCCCCGATCACTTATTTCAGTCATTATGTGCCATGCGTGATACACGCTTAGGCGATCATTTAGGCAGATTTTGTTCCCGCAGTAGGTTGCCATTTCTTTCTGCGGTAGACCAATTGCGATCCAAGGCTATAGAACCTGGTTTGTTCTGTTATTTACCCATAGCTGGGAGGAGGAGAAGATGATTCATACCTTTCCCAATGGTATTAGCAATAAGTGAATGTAATGAATTCGACTGGAATTCGAACTCGGCTCTCCGGTTCCTCAATCCGAGCCGCTATCCATTATTTGATTTTATGAAATTTCGAAAATTTTTGCACCACTTATTAGTTACAGTCAGATGCCCTTGAAAAATTTAAGTCATCAATTATTTTTTATAAATTAGGGCCGCAGTTACTGAAAATCTGCTCTGAATCGTAAAATTAAAAATGCAATAAAACTAAGATATTTTTTAATTAGAAAAGTTTTTAATTGCTTTTACGAATAAAATATATAATAGACACTATTGTTTTAAGAAAAAAATCGATGAATAATGAGTTTTTACAAGAATTATTTTAATTTTGCAAAAATTTTTTAATTAGAATGACTCATAGTTTTAAATCATTTAAATTTCTGTATTAATTTCTACCGGTTAGGCGATATTGTTATTAAGTAAAAACTGTATTTACTAATTATAAATGAAAAGGCTTACTACAATACAACGGCCATCAATATTTTTAAAAGAATTTTGATTTTTTTTGCGTGTATCAACCTGCTGATTTTTGTAAATACGGATGTCCCTACACGACATCATAAAAATAAGCGCGATAACTATTCTAAATTTAAAGCCAAAGTACCTAAAGTTCAATAAAACATCAGATGACAGAGGATATTTTGATAAATCTTTAAGATTATGGGGTGGTTACAAATTCTATAAAAAAGGCGCTCACCTTATAGTCTTCAACTAATTTTTACAGATATGTCTCCGTAGAAAAAATAGTTCCGGCTGTCAGTCAAGCTGTCAATACCTTAAATAAACACGTCGTGTTAAAAATGTGTTTCTGTAATATTTAAACTAAAAGTAAGTTATATTAGTTTGAAATCAGATTAATTAAAATTTACATCAGCTAATGTTCCTCAAATAAAGTTTTTATAAACTATATTTTATTTTTGAAAGTTTTTTTTTACTAAAGACAATTACATTGTGCTGATAGATGGCTAAGAATGATACTGACATCAGCGGAGTTTATCAATGTAAAGAAACTGAGCCGACTAAGCATAGAAATGAATACAATATGGGAACCAGTAATAAGGAGTGCCAGAGAAAAGCGATAATAACAACAAAAATTGCAATATGAGCTCTGGTAAAACATAAAATGATAACAGCAAAAATTGCAATATGAGCACTGTTAAAAAATAATTGCTGGAAACACTAGATTTATAATACACAGAAATTCATACACAGATGTCCTCAAGGACACACGGAACAGTGGATAAAAGCGTCAGTTAGATCCAGTGACAGGACCCAAAGAGTGTGAGTTCAATACCCGGTTAAGGCAGTGGAGAACTTGGAGAGGGGAATTAACAGGAGATAACTGATAACTGACATCCATTAAACATGGCACGTGAAACTAGAACAGTTTACCCCAGTGAGTGAAATAAAGTGTTCAGTTCAACATTCCAACCACCTGAAGAAGGCCGGAGCGTACAACGGCCAAAACGTTGTAATAAATATGGCGACAAAGATGAGGACAATTGTCCGAATAATGTAAATAATGCACATAATACCTCATCTCAGAAATATAGATAGAATTTAAATTAGTTTTGAAATATAGCAAAGTATTTGGCCTATTGGAAATATTAAATTTGATCTGTTAGCTTGTAATTAATACTAAAATAAAAGCTTCAAGAAAGATTTTTTTTCATTTTTAAAGATTCATTTTAAAACTTACGTTTCTTTGTTGGTATCTACATTGAATTTCATCCCTTTCTCAAGGGTGTAAGTGTATAGCATCCTTCTCAATAGTAAAGGTCAACAGGGGTCAGCCTTGCTGACCATTGCCTTGCGTCGTGGCCGCTTCTTGCCTGCAGAAAAGCAGAATTCCTGCAGCCAAGAAACAGGATAAAAAAAAATTGCTTTCGGTTTCATATCAAGCTCTTGGAATCGCCGGCCAACTCTACAGCCTTCAAAATCCGATACAGAATTAGTGGATTTTCTTTCAATTTAAAAAGAAAATTGTATCATTATAAATCACCAACAACCATGGACCACTTCCAAAAAATAATACAATGAAGCCTTGCAACAATTGGTTGATTAATTGATTCGTTTTTTACGGTTTATCAACCTTTTGCAGCTTACATTATTTACATTATTCAGACTGTTGTCCTCACCTTTATTGCCATATTCACGACATTTTCGGCCGTTGTACGCTCCGGCCTTCTTCAGTTGATTGGAACTGAACCCTTTATTTCGTCTACCGGGGTAGATTGTTCTAGTTCTATGTGCCATGCTTCTTCCGGATGTCTCAGTTATCTTCCTTTAACTTAACTCTCCAATGTTTTTTTCACCCCTGCAGTAGCTAGGTATTGAACTCACAACTCTTTGGGTCAAATCACTGGATCCAACCATTGGGCCATATATCCTTATTTGCAGACAATATTTTTAAATTGTAAGAATCTTTTTTTGGAGATAATAATAGTTTAGTGATACTAATAGTCTTACTAATTAACCCATAGCTGGGGAGAGAAGAGGTGGATTTATATCTTTCCCGGTGGGTATTTGCGCGTACGTGAATACAACGAACCTAAAGGGAATCAGAACAAAAAAAAACCCCGAGCCATGATCCATTACACAACCCAAGCTTAAAACATTTGGTATTCCTAAGCGGCCACGCATCTAGGTACTGACCAGGCTCGACGTTGCTTAACTTTCAACGTGGTATGACCGAATTGATGTAGTAGTAGTAGTAAGATGAAGATTAAACAGAGAAACATAGAAACAGAAAGACAGAAGAAAGAGACGAACGAATGTTGGTCTTTGATCGTCAAAAGAACACTGGCGATATTTCGCTTTACGTAGACAGGCGGTCATTCACGTCGACAGCTACAAAATGGTTTAAAGCGGACGTCTTCATCGCACAGACAAATCCTTTTCCCGCCAACCTCGCTAACGGCTTAGCTCGGCAGACGTTTTGTCTTCTGACGTCCATGACAGCTTCAGAAAGTCACCCTGGCGTGAACTGTGAAGCGGGCCAAGACAGAACAGGTCATTACTTTCGCTTCTTAGCCCGAAAGATAGACGGCTCCTGTTTTACGGTTTCTTTCTCTCGCCATTTTTCTTCGTGATTCTACGTTCGGATTCTTTTAGCGTTTTATTTGATTTGATTTTTCGGAATGAGCAGCAACAATCTTCCTTATCTCTCTCGTATTTTGGTTTTAGCCTTTCAACCTTTTTATTCTTCTCAGTTATTATTATTATTATTATTCCGTTTCTATACGTTACTACTACCTTCTTCATCTTCAACCCTCCTTGTTACCTTCACCTCTTCTTCCTCCTCCTTCCTCTTCAACCATCATCGTTACTACTACTACTACTACTGCTTCTTATTCTTCTTTTGAGCCATTTCAACCCACCTCCTTACCTCCTATCTTCTTCTTTAACCTTTTTCGTTTCTTCTTCTTCTTCTTCTTCTTCTTCTTCTTCTTCTTCTTCTCTTCACACCCTTTCAAGTTGATTCGTTACCCCCTCCTCTTCCTCCTCTTCCTCCTCCTTCAACCATTTATTGTTATCTTCTTTTTCTCTCTGCACTTCTTTCAACCATCCTCGTTATTTTCTTCTCCTCCTCCTTCACACATCCCTCTTTCTCCTCCTCCGGATTCATCTTCTGTCCACACCCCTTCAACATTCTTCGTTGCCTCCCCCTAAATCCCTCCTCCTCTTCTTCCTCCTCCTTTTTTTCCACATCTATTCTTCGTCTTCAACCATCCTTGTTACCTCCGCCTTCTTTTTCGCTGTCTACACCCTCTTCAACCCTACTCCTCGTCCCCTTCTTCTTCTTCTTCTTCTTCTTTCCACACCCCTGTAAAGTTCTTCGTTTCCTCCTCCTCCTCCTTTTTTCCAGACATTACCACTTCTTCTTCACTTTCTACATCTTTTTCTTCTTCACCTTCTCCTCCTCCTTCTTCTTCGTCTCCTTCTTCTTCTTCTTCACCTTCTTCTTTTTCGTTTTCTTCTCCCTCACCTTCTTCTTCTTTTTCACCTTCTTCTTCCTCACCTTCTACTTCTTCACCCTTTTGATCCTTCATTTTAGCCTTTTCCCCCGACATTCTCTTGTTATTTCTCCTTTATTAAACACCCTTCCTTTCACCATAATCTTATTCTTTTATTCCCTTATTCTTTTCGTTATTCTCTTCAACGTGACTAGCTTGTTGACCATTACACTTCTAAAATTAAACAGAGTTTACGTTAGAATAGCCCAAGGACACAAGACCTACCGCTATCATCTTGGCTACTTCAAACTTATATTTATTCCATTCTCTACCTTTTGGCGGGATTCTGTTGTGTTTCTCCTTAGGGCATAACACAACGTGATTAAAGCAAAACTGTTTCACCGGAGATCAGTCCTTCAGGCAGTACCTCCCTATTCCACGAACAAGGTAGTGTCATTTCACCGCTTGAACAAGGTTATTTTGCAATACAAATGTGTAAGGGTTCCCACACTAAAAAGGTCTTGTGTTGCATCCTATTCTCCGTCGGAAGATGCTTCGACACCTCCTTTTATAAACAATTTTTCTTCTTTTTTTACCCCCGTTTTTTGTTCACATTCACTGAGTAGGAGAAGACGAAAAGAATTTTTCGTCTTCTCCTACTCAGGTTCTTCTTCTTCTGTGTCTTTCTCTTTTCCTCCTCCTCCTCCTCCTTTTTCTTCATCTTCTCTTCCTTCTCCTTCTTGTTTGTCTCCTCCTCTTCCTCGTTTTCTTACTTCTCTTTCTCTTCGTCCTTCTCTTTGCCTCCTCCTCCTCCTCCTCTTCTCTATCTTATTTTTTTGTCTTTCTCTTTTCCTCCTCCTCCTTCTCCTTTTCCTTCTCCTCCTCTTCTTTGTCTCCTCCTCTTCCTCCTTTTCCTACTTCTCTTTCTCTTCATCCTTCTCTTTCCTCTTCTTCTTCTTCTTCACCGCCTCCTTCTTTTCCTTCTCCTCCTCTTCCTCCTCCTTATTGTTTGTCTCCTCCTCTTCCTCGTTTTCCTACTTTCCTTTCTCTTCATCCTTCTCTTTCCTCCTCCTCCTCCTCTTCTTATTCTTCTTTCCTGCCCGCCACCATTTTCCTCTTGCAGCGGCCGCTTCCTCTTCCATTCAACTTCCCTTCCTCACCTTGAGCTTGAGCACACAGCTGCCCTTTCCACTTCCACCGTCACTTCCGGTTACCCACTTCCCTTCTCCTTTCATGCACAGACCGAAGCACGCATGCGCATAGCTTGACTGTCTGTCCTTTTGAGATAATGTAAAGCTGTTGTTCGTTTGCGAATCGCTGACAGCCACTACTTCGGTTCTCGGATAGAAAAGAACATTAAACTGAATTACGTCGACAGATTTTCGCGAGAAACGTCTTCTGCCGGAACGGTGCTTTTGTAACTGTCCCCCTGAAAGCATCCCCCGCCACCTAACAAAACAAAACCTGCTGTGTGAAACCATTTTTTTTTCTTTTTTTGAAGGAAAAGAAACTCTATCGAACAGACCAGACATTTCTCAGAAAGCAAACCACGTAAAAACCGCAAAGTACGTGATGAAAGAGATTGCAGGACACATTGAAGCGAAGAGAAATTCCCTGTTTGTTTGTATTTATTTATTGCATACAATATGAACAATAATAACGTAAACAAGATATTTATTCTCTCCACCTTTTCCGCCAGGGTAAATTTGACACAAGAACAGGTTTAATGTGGCACCCTATACACGGACTTGTGGGTAGAGACAAAAAAACCCAAAAAACCATTTGTCCATCGGTCTTGCTATACCTCATGCCACGTGCACCAGTGACCTGTCCTAACTGTAGACCTTTTAATGCAAATGGGTATTGTGTAGCCAGTAATGTTGGAAATAAGCGAAAAGGGGCAGGTGGGAGAAAATACTGGTCTCATTTTTAAATTAACTAGCGTCTTTTTTTTTTCTTTTTTTTTTTTTAAATCACTTAGATTAATGCCTCGAATCAAACTCAGATAAATAAATGGAATAAAAATAACTAAAATAAATGATTAAAAATTTAAAAATATGCGCCTTCAGATTTCGGTATTGCATTTTCCCGTTCTCTGTTAAAAAAAAACAAAACAAAAATACTTACTAGAAATTTAAAATTTTGTACTTGCTTGATTTTGATGTATGGAATTGGCACTTTGCCTACTGGGTTGCTCCTTTTACTGATGACCATACATTACATCTTCTTACATTAAAAAAAAAAAAATCACCCCAAGCAAGACAATAAAGCCACTAAGACATCAGGGGTTACTGATTGTTAAAGAAAATAAAAACCATTATTAAGGAGCGAGAACAATAAAAGAACGGGAATTAAGATGAGAGAGGATTAACGACTGACATTGAATTTTTGAAGATGACTGGGAAGCAAGAAGCCGGAAAAAAGTTTTATAAGCGAGAATTGCGGGAGAAGAAACTGCCATCATAGAACTTACGGTTCTATCTAACCATTTCAACTGTAAAGTTGCTGCTAATCTAGTAGTGCGCTTAAATTCCTAAAGCTTGACTACAATAGAGGAAACTTCACCAGAACAATTACCATCACAGGAAAACAACATTATGGTGGTTGGAAAATAACTGGAGCCGATATATCATGTCAGGACTAACAATATTGCAGATTATTTGGATTTTATTAAGAATTTTTAAATATATAGCAGGAGCAACAGACAAGATGTGGCAACAGTATTCAAAGCAAAGAAGAATAGCAGACTTATAATATAGATTCTGACGAGAAAGATTGTCTAGCACAACACAAGGAACCAACTTTCCTCACAGTAGAATTAGCAATTGATTCAATATTTCCACTCCATATTAGCGTAAAGCATTAGCCTAAGAAGTCGCAGTGAACCACTCTCTTGGAGGTTAGCATCAGCCGTACTGATGGAAGTTAAAAAGAGTTCCCTCAGACGATTAAATTTTTATACTTTCATTGTGTTTTGATCCCACTTTCGGGGTTCAATATTTCTCCATAGTTGGGACACTTGCCAAAAAGCTTTAAGTGATCGACAGTATTAAGATACGATCTCGTCATACAATCTCGTCATTATGATCTCGTTATACGATCTCGTCATTATGATCCCGTTATATAATTTCGTCATTATGATCTCGTTATACGATTTCGTCATTATGATCCCGTTATATAATTTCGTCATTATGATCTCGTTATACGATCTCGTCATTATGATCCCGTTATATAATTTCGTCATTATGATCTCGTTATACGATCTCGTCATTATGATCCCGTTATATGATTTCGTCATTATGATCCCGTTATATGATTTCGTCCTTATGATCTCGTTATACGATCTCGTCATTATGATCCCGTTATACAATCATGTCATTATGATCTTGAAACAAGATCTCGTCACGATAGCCAAGGTTGTAGGATTCAAACTGACAGTAGGATGGGAGATACAGTTTCGAATGCATGGTTTGGTTTGGTTTGTTTGATTAACGTCTATCAACTCATGTGGCATTTCATGTTGAAATTTTCTTTTCAGCTTTCGTAATTTCTTATCCAATAATGGATTGCTGGAAATTTTTTTTTAATTTTTGTCTATTAAAATCTATTACTGGAATTTTTTTTGACTATGAAAATGTATTACTGGAAAAAATTTTTTGACTATGAAAATGTATTGCTAAAAAATTTTTTTTGACTATTTGTATTATGGAAAAATGTTTTTGACTATGAAATCTATTGCTGGAATTTTTTTTGACCATGAAAATGTATTGCTGGAATTTTTTTTTTTTGACTATGAAAAAATAATTGCAGGAATTTTGTTTTTGACTGTGAAAATGTATTGCTGGAATTAAAAAAAAAAATTTTGACTATGAAAATGTATTGCTGGTATTTCTTTTTTTGACTATGACAATGTATTGCTGGAAATTTTTATTCATTTTTGACTATGAAAACTTATTGCTGGAATTTTTTATTTTTGACTAAGAAAATGTATTGCTGGTAATTTTTTTTTGACTTTGAAAAAATATTGCTGGAATTTTTTTCTATTGTTTGTAATTTTTTTGACTATGACACTATATTGTTGGTGATTTTTTTTACCATGAAAATTTATTGCTAGAAATTTTTTCTAATATGTTTTTTATATTTTCATGTTTTGACCGCAGTTTGGGAGTTCATTATTTGTCTATAGTTGGGACCCTAACAGGTGAAAAATGTAATTGCTGGTAATTTTTTTCAATCAATGGTTTTATTGCATGAAAATGGACGCTATTGCTGAATTTTTTTTTAAAAAAATATCCATATATTCTTTAATAGCAAAAACCTTTTTGTAAAAATGAAAAAAAAACTAATTATTTTTAAATGCAGGAAAAATGTTTATCAGTTGTTTTTTTAAAACTTGACATTTATAAACATAGAACTATTTCCGGATAACTGGAATTTTAAAAAAAAAATTCCCCATCCCTGGAAAAATTTTGACTATCCAGTTTGAAAAAAAAACGTCTCAGAGTCCTTATTGGGGCCGTGAGAGGTATTTCAAGGCTTTTGCTGCATCACTATTTCCATGGAAAGTTTATTTTCTTTTTATGTGCCATATCCTGTCAGAACGTAGGCGATCATGACCCTCCATCCTCCTATCTCTTTGTTGTAGAAATCTTTTTTAGAGTAGTTTTTATGTATTTCACTAAGTCGGTCCTAATAGGGTCCGAAAAACCGTTTTGAAATATTCATTTTGACTTTAATGAAAACTTATTGCTGCTATTTTTATTTTGACTAAACAAAAATGTTGTTCCTCACCCTTTGCAGCTGACATGTTGGGGTTGAATTTCACGCGCTGTTTCCTTTGTCTCTCTGTTTCCCTCTACTCGAACCGTGAGTATCAGACTCCAGGCCCTCCTTCCTCATTATGTGTCCCAGGCTGCCGCTTTCTGATGTTAGAGTTTGGATCCTCTCTAAGACCTCATCGTTGCTCACGCGCTCAATCCATGATATCCTAGCATCCTTCTGAGAACCACATCTATTGAGTTGCCTTGAGTCTCTTCTTCATCTTTGAGGATATCGTCCAATATTCGCTGCCGTAAAGAAGGACAGGTGTCACATAACAGCTCAGTATTCTTTTCTTTGTTATCAAAGAAATCCTCTGAAGGATCCTTGAACCTCAGTGTGGCATTTACTCAGATATTTAATCTTTAACGTCTGCTTGATTCTAGTATTCCTGACCTGCAACTCGCATTTTGGGCTCATCCTTTTACTGATGACAATGGATTCTGTTTCTTGTAGTTTTACCAGTCCTTTCTTCTCACTCTCCGTCGCTACCTTCTGTAAAGTACTCGGACGAACTGCATTCCTAGGTTCCGCCAGTCAGAGCCTTCACGGCCAGGAACCGCCATGACACCCACATTATAGCAACCACACTCATTCTCTTCGTATTCCATTCGTGAGAAACAAGTTCCACTCGAACAGCTTCTTCTCGCGAACTTCTGCCCTGTGAAATAGACTCCCAAGAGGATGCTTTCCCGACCACTACAATCTTAACCTGTTCAAGTCTAGGGTTAACCGTTATCTTCCCCATGGTTCCACGAGTTCCATGGGCTTTGTAATAAAAAAAAAAAAAATAGATTGTAGAAATTATTTTTAAGGGCTTGTTAGCCATTACTCTGCAGCGAAACCTCTAAGGATATGCATATATATATATATATATATATTATTTATATCAACATATATTGGCATCTCCTCAGTCCAGTGAAGACTTCAAGTATTTAAGGCATGGGGTGTAATTGGCCTTATCCTGTCGTTATTATGACATGTTGGTGGGGTTGAATTTAGAGCTGTGCTACTAGACAGGGCTTCGTACTGAGGCTATTAAGAGAGAGAGAGAGAGAGAGAGAGAGGAGAGATAGACCAAAACACGTCTGTCATTTTAAAAAGGATCGAACTTTTTAATTGATCTAGAGACATTTTTTTACACCACGGAAATGGATCAACGTACAGTGTCACAAATGCAAGTCGTTATATCGCATGGTTCTCATAATAAGTATAGTAATATTGGTCGTTTCTTTATAAGGAAAAAATTAACATTCATTGACCGAGCAGCCAGTGCCACTGTTGGTCAAAATTTCTAAAACCTTTTTCTTAAAACATTTTTTTAGGAAAATAGGTTTCTCAAATTCAGAAGCTTTTATCCAGTATTGATGGAAATTTCCTTCCTAGCCTTTTGTTTGAAGTGGTGTGGAATGTAGACATCTTCATTATGTCATTATTTTGTCTTCGAGTTACATGTGCTATTTCAGTTGTTGCTGTTGTTGAATGTCCTCAAATGATGTGGCATCTTCTATTTGGTACATTTCTTTGTTTGTGATTGTGTAGCGCCAGTCCACGAAATTCGGAGATGGATAGTTCTCTCCAGATATATCAATTTGGAATTAGAAACATTAGTCACATTTTTTTTTTTTAAATCATTTCATCCCAAGCAAATCAATAAACCCGTCCGACAGTAAGGCCTCTTATCAGGTTTTGAGGAGCGTGGAACCACTTCTCAATTGCTGATGTTCCCAGGCTCGCCCTGGCCTGGGAGTCCCAGCTATGGGCAAATAGCTAACCCCCAAACTGGGGTCAAAATACTATGAAAGTTTAAAAATAGGTTTTAATACCAGAAATACTTTGCAAAAAAAAAAAAAAAAATAAAAAAAAAATATTACCAGCAATAAATTTTTGAAGGAAAAAATTATTGTCAGCAATACTTTAAAAAAATATATATATAGTACCAGCAATACAAACAGCTACACATTTTTTTGGAAAAAATATTACCAGCAATAAAAATTGTCGGCATTATATAACCCATTGAGGTTGATATACCGTAAAAAAAAAACAGCAAATCAATAAAGTCATTAATACTAGAAATTTCAATTAGATCTCGCCATTTCAACTGTAGAATTGAATGCTACTTTTGAGTGTCAGATAGATGGACTTGTATGATTATTATTTTTTTTAATCATTTCAGTCCAAGCAAGGGAGTAAAGCAACTAAAACGCAAGGGGTTATTTAGTGTGAATGAATAAGAAAAAAAAGGAGAAACATTATTAAGGAGCAAGAACAAGAAGAGGAATGAAGAAGGCAGTGGATAAAAGATTGATATTGCATTTAAATTGTTAAAGTTCAAAGTTGGCTGGGAAGCAAGAAGCCGGAAGAGATTTCCACAAGCAAGAAGTGCGATAGAAGAAACTGTTAGCATAGAACTTACGGTTGCATCTAGCCATTTCAACTGTTAAATGATGGAACCTTACTGCCAATCTAGTCCTACACTTAAATTAATGAAGTCTAAGTACCATAGTGTAGAGTTCATCAGAACAGTTACTATGAAAGTATTTATAGAAAAGGCAGATAAAAGCTTCATTAAGGTGATGGGAAAATGGCTGAAACCAAAATGCTAGGTAAGGACCAATAATATTGCAGATTCTTCTTGGGATTTTATCAAGAATCTCTAAATACATAGCAGAAGCACCGGATCAGATGTTTTAGCAATATTCAATGGATGGACGAATGGTAGACTTATAAATATGTAAAATAAATTTAGAAGATGAACATTGTCTATCATAACATAGTAAACCAATATTCTTAACTGCAGACTTAGCAGCTGATTCAATATACACTTTCCACTTGATGTCAGGTGAAAACATTTATTCAAGAAGGCAAAATGAGTCACTCTGCTGGTAGTTAGCTTCTATCGTCATTGAGTTTGAGGAACAATAACATCGCAGATTCTTCTTTGGATTTTATCAAGAATCTCTAAATACATAGCAGAAGCACCAGACCAGATGTGACAGCAGTATTCAATGCATGGATGAATGGTAGATTTATAAATATGCAAAAGGAGAGGAAAATTGTCTATCATGATACAGTGTACCAAATGTCCTAACTGCAGACATAGCAGTTGATTCAATATAATCTTTCCACTTTCATGTTAGCTGAAAACATTAACCCAAGAACGCGTAACGAGTCACTCTCCAGGAGGTTAGCATCAGCCATGCTGATTGCAAGAAAGAAATGCTCCTTTCAGACGATTAATAGACAGAAGTTTCGTTTTGGAGGTGTAAAAATTCAAGAGAGGACATATCATGATATAGTGGACCAACATTTTTAGTTGCAGACTTAAAGTTGATTCAATATAATCTTTCCACTTCATATCAGCGGAAAATGTTTATTCGAGAGGGCACAATGAGTCACACTCCTGGAAGTTAGCTACTATCCTCATTGAGTTTGAGGACCAATAACATTACAGATTCTTCTTTGGATTTTATCAAGAATCTCTAAATATATAGTAGGAGAAAAATGCACCAGAACATCTGTATTCCACCTGTCCCTTTTATCAAATATTCAAATGAAACACTTTGTCCTAGAATGCAAGTTGACTAAATTAAGGGGTGAGAGAACATTTCCTGAATATTTAATAAGAAGTTACTTCTCGCCATTTTAACTGTAAAATGATGAGACAACTTACCGCCAACCTCGTACTGGGCTTAAATTCATAAAGTTTAGCTATCATAGTGGAAAGTAATATTTATTTTGAATAATAAAAAAAGTGACACAAGGCCAAGAGGAGGCGTAGAGGAAGATTCGTCATTAATCTATTTTAATTTAGCTAGCCACGATTACTGATCCAGACATAACACAGTATTCCCTACACCAAAACAACACATTATCAGTCTTTATTTCTGAGAGGAGGATTTGTAATTATTTACACTATTTACATTGTTCGGACTGTAGTCCTCATTAGAACCATCCACCCCGGTGGACGAAATAAGGGGATCGGTTCGAAATACGAATCACCTGAAAAAGGCCAAAGCGTACAACGGCCGAAACATCGTGAATATGGCAACGAAGATGAGGACAACAGTCCGAACACTGCAAATAGTGTAAACTAGCAGCCATACCCAACTGGTCGATCAGAAAAAAGCGTTCAATTAGAATGAAGCAAAAACAACATCATGTTTAGATGTAATATAGTCTGTCTTCTTCAATTACTTTAATTAAGAAAACATTTTGAATTAATGAAGTTACTGATATAACAGAATTAGTCTGTATTTATTCAATCGAATTTAGCCGAGGACATGAAAGAGTGAAATAGACAACATGAAGACCCACTTCAGACCACAATTATTTTGGAGTTTTTGAAATTCAATTTGTCAGTGTGCTACCAGGGATGTAAAAGAGGATACATTTACAAAGCAATTGTTAAGTTTGATGAAAATTGCTTGAAAGATCAATGAAAAATTTTAAAAAATCGAAAAAAGTAAAAATTGTCATTTTTCGCTATTTACGCGAATTTTCACTATATGAATGGAGTCAATTATCAAGTTAAATGACTGCTAAACAATCAACTTATTGCTGACTACAATTGAGTGAAGTTTGTATTAGATTGCTTAAAAATTGAGAGAGTTTTTAGTTTAAAATTTGTGTTGAAATCGATTTGTGTTGAAATCCATTTTTCTTTTTTCGTGGTTTTCCGCTAATCGCAGAGGCGTAGAAATATAAATGAGTTATCGTTGAGCTCGCCATGATGTAAGTAACCTACATATCGAGTTTGAACGAAATCTGAGGAAAAAAGTTGAATTCATCGATTTTTGATCGGCATTATCAATTATTGATTTTTAAAAAAGTTATCGATTTTTTACGCTAAGAACTTATCTCTTACATTGTACAATGTATGTGCTAAGTTTGGTTAAAATCGGTTGAATGGATCTCGAGTGAAAAGGTATCACACAGACAGACAGCATTCCTCTGTTTTATATATATAAATAACACATTATGACTTACAGCCACCATAATACCTCACCGTCTCTATGTAGTTTTAACTAGTCCTCATATTGTAAAAAAATGACGTCACACATTATGAAATGGACAAAGTCCGACAATTATTTTAAGGCATTTTTATGTTTATACATTCTTTTTATAGATACATTAAGTAAATGCTGTTTATAATAAACAGTATTAAACAACATTTACCGGCCTGAATGTCCGAGAAATTTTTGTATCTATAAAAAGAATGTATAAACAAAAATGTCTTAAAATAATTGTCGGACTTTGTCCATTTCATAATGTGTGACGTCATTTGCTTACATTTGATACACCATGAGCAGATATGAATGTGCGTGAGAGAGTCATAGAAGATTGAAGTTCAAATACAGTAAATTCGACCTTGCTAACCGAACGTTCCTCTGTGGCCAAATCGGTTAAAGGCACGTCAAGCTAAATGGTAGTACTTATATGTACAATTTGTCTGTCGGGGTGAGGAATAAAAATAACAACATTTAAAAAAAGAAATTTCAATCAATAAGGGAAAGATTATCAGAAGAATTACCATGAAAGTATTTACAGAAAAGACACAAGGAAGCTACATTAATGGAGTGAAAAGTGACAGAAACCGGCATGTAAACGTAATCCTTATTCCAGTTGGATTTGGATCGTAGCGGGATTATAACGACAAAATACTGAAATATTATGTAATACCAATCATATTTTCAGGAATTAAATATTGATAAGTTTCTTTACCGATGAAGAGGAGACATAAGGCGACAAAACCGTACAAAATGATGAAGAGAATATCATAGACAAAACATGCGAGCAATGAGGAAGTTTTAAGATTTGATTTCTTTTTTACCGTTTATCATAAATTTTACAGGAAATTTAAAAACAGAAAATAATTTTAGATTGTGAGAATTGTTGGAAATAATAATCATTTAGTGATAAAAAGTCCTACTATTTAATCCATAGCAGGTGGGAGAAGATGTGGATTCATATACTTTCCAAGAGTATTTGCGCGTAAGTAAATATAGCAAACCGACTGTACTTGCAACTCGACTCTCCGATTTCCAATTCAGAGCCCCGTTATCGCTTACGCCACCCACACATTCAAGCTTACAGACCCTGGTATTCCCAAGAGGACACCCATCTAGGTACTGACAAGGCTCGACGTTGCTTAACTTCGGAGAACCGGTGTTTCAACGTGATATGTTCGTAAGTATTATTCCAGTTGTAGGAGAGTTAGGATTAATTCAGAAGAATAGTGAGATCCGAAGACATATTGGGATGGCTAAAGATGAATTCCAAAAGCTAAGCAGTGTATTAAGAGACATAAAAAACATCGTTAGTAACAAAGGAAAGAGTACTGAACTGTCACGTGATATCTGTCCTCTTATATGACATTGAATAATGGATAATCTCCTCAAAAATGAGGTGGAGACTTGAAGCAACAGAAATGTGATTCTACAGAAGGAAGGATCGAACATGCGAGCAACGACCTAGATTTTAGAGACAATGGAAACAAAAAGGAAACTTATACTTAACGTCAGGAAGAGACTGTTGAAATTTCTACAGAAGGATGATGAGGATACCATGGATCAAACATTTGAGCAACGACGAGGTTTTAGAGAAAATGGAAACAAAAAGGAAACTTATACTTAACATCAGGAAGAGAAAGTTGAAATTTCTACAGAAGGATGCTGAGGATACTATGGACCGAATATGTGAGCAACAACGAAGTTTTAGCACAGTGGATAAAAGCGTTAATTAGATCCAGTGACAGGATCCAAAGGGTTTGAGTTCAATACCCGATTAAGGCAGTGGAGAACTTGGAGAGGGGAATTAACAAGAGATAACTGACACCTGACATCCATTAAACATGGCACGTGGAACAAGAACAGTCTACCCAAGTGAGTGAAATAAAGGCGTCAGTTCGACATTCCAACCACCTGAAGAAGGCCGGAGCATACAACGGCCGAAACGTTGTAATAAATATGGCGACAAATATGAGGACAATAGTCCGAATAATGTAAAAAGGAAGCCTATATTTAACATCAGGAAGAGACAATTGAAATTTCCACAGAAGGATGCTGAGAATGACATGGACTAAACATGTGAGCAACAGCAAGGTCTTAGAGAAAATGGAAACAAAAAGGAAACATAACATCAAGAAGAGGCAGTTTAGGTTTCTGGGGCACGTAATGAGGAAAGAGGGCTTAGAAAACCTGATACTCACGTGACAGATTGAGAGAAAGGGAGACAGAGGAGAGCAACGCGTAAAATATTTGGTGAGCTTGAGCAAATGGATGTTAGAACAGGGTTTGGGAGAAATAACAAAAAATCAAAACTTATTAAGAACTTCAAGGAACAGGAAGTTGTGGAGAGCCATGATTGCCTAAGTCTTGAAGGGACATGGCACATAAAAGAAGAAGGAAGAAGTGATCGACGCATTAAGGAAATCCCAGGAAATCTTTTTTTTATCCGATGTACAAAATATTTTGTTGAGTCCTGCTCACTTATTGAGAACAAAAAAAAATATTTCAATAACTTAGAAAAGATTTCATTTACGTCTCTGGGGAATGATCGGAATATGATTGTATTAATCAGTAAAATAAATAAATAAAATAAATAATAATAATAATAATAATGATAATAAACGATTGATCATCTTGTATCAGGTTGCACAATATTGGCACCCACTGAATATAAAACCCAGCATGACAGAGTAGGCTAATATCTGCATTGGAAAATCTGCAACTTCTACGGGAAGGAAACTGAAAGAAACTGGTATGAACACCACCCAGACCCGGTTACGGAGATAGGACCTGTTACAATTCTATGGGACTACACAATACACACTGACAGAACAATCAAGGCCAACCGCCCAGATATTGTTATTAAAGAGCACAAACAAAAAAAAGTGCCTTCTTATTGATATGGCAGTCCCTGCAGACTGAAATGTATCTTTGAAGATATTCAAAAAGCTGTCAAAAATACAACGACCTTGAAATCGAAATCTCAAAAATGTGGCACATGGGAACATCAACAATCCCTGTTGTAGTTGGAGCCCTAGGATTGGCTGGAAAAGATTGCAGTAGACTAATTGAAGGGATTCCTGGAAGTCCATGCCTCAAAGAAATACAAAAAATTGTTCTCACAAGTACAGCCCACACTTTACGAAGGGCTTTATCTATGTAATATTTGTCAGTGGAAAGTGTCATGATGCCATTTCTAACCTTAGGTCTCCGGACGGGACCCGGAAAGAAATGTGTAAACGCCAGAAATCAAAGGAAATAATAATAATAATAATAATAATAATAATAATAATAATAATAATTGCAGCAGCCGGCGTCGAGTCCGCCTGTGATGAAGTGACTATTTTCATGGCGAAGTGATTTCATCTAGTCATGCAGAACGCTATAGACAGCCGGCAAAATTCCCCGCCTTTTCACCTTTTTTTTTTCACTAATGGATGTAAAAATGATAGAGATGTTCTGAGATTATTTCAGACTTGGCGTCTCTTCACCCGGAAAGATGGCGAGAAATGATCTGCTACGAGACAAAGAAGACGTCTCAAAACAGCGGAATAAAAAAAAAAAAAAATTGAAAGAAAAAAAAAATAACTGGAAGGAGGGGACACACACACAAAAAATATATATATATACGGAAAAAGAAGAGAAGTCGGATAATCCCCAGTTATTCAGCCCCTTCTCTCTCTCTCTCTCACTTTCTCTCTCTGTCTATCTTTTTCTGTCTGTCTGTCTGCTTGCCTTTCTGTCTGTTTCTGTTTTTGTCTGTCTGTCTCTCGCTATATATTTATGAATTGGGATCAAATTCAAATCAAATATGGAACGGAATCCGACAGAATGATAAGATGAAGGACGAATAGGAAATGTTTATCAATCTAACACGTTTAACTTTTATTAAAACCACAAAAGGGAATGAGATATGGAGAAAGGAATTTTTTTTCATTTTTTACATATTTCATTCTTTGATGAAACTTTAATTAAAGTAAAAAAATTTAAAGTAATAATGTTATCTATTTGTCCTTTATCTTACACATATACATTACATTCACTTACGTGCTTATACCCTTGGGAAAGGTGTAAATCTTCTTCTTCCTCCAGCTATGGGTAAATAGCAGGACAGACTGGGTTCTATAGCCATGGATGGCAACTAGTCTAGAAGAAGGACAACTCTGAATTCAAAACCTGCGAAGGGTCGTTTGGGGACCTTATGGCACGTAGTGCACCAGGTTTCTGTATTCGGCCCTTCAAAAAGTGTGGATGGTCCTGCACGAGGCCTTCATCACTATAATCAAATCTCAAATGTGTGTGTTTAAATGGGTTTTAACAGAGCTTTGGTCGGATAGGTGTAACGTAAGGCGTTTGGATAGGCATGTAGTAGTGTGACCAATGTAATTATTTATGAATTTGGTTTAATCAGGAACCCAGTTCCTTAAGGGTCATTTGAACTGATAAATAATGTCCGTTCTTTGTCATTTTGATTTTGCTGCTGTGTTTGGACATTTTCTACACATCCTGTGTCCAGAAAAGGAAACAATTGTTCGAATACAAGAAAAATTAAATAAAAACCTTAGTCTTAGTGTCTTGTCTGTCGTCTTTAATTAAACATATATATATATATATAGAGAGAGAGAGATAGATAGATAGATAGATAGATAGATAGATAGATAGATATGTATGTATGTATGCACACACAGATATATATACAGGGTGTGATAGATAAATTGTCGTCTAAATTACACAGAAATGAAAATAACACTGTCATCTTATTTTAGCAGATATATTTACCAAAATTACGCAAAAATATCTTGTAACGCTAAAGAGTAAATTTATTCAATAAAATCACCAATGGCTTCATCCACGTCCTCCAGACGACTTCGGAATCTCCTGCATCACTTGTGTAAGTTGGTGAATGCTGTCTGCCATAAGCCTTGCCTTTACGACTCTGCACCATGAAAAACAAGCAGGAGAAATCTGGCCACTTAACTCTCCAAACTGCACCCCATTGATTATTATGTGGGAGCGCAATTGGTCAAGAGACCAACAAAACTCCTTGTAATACACACACACACACACACACACACACACACACACACACACACACACACACACACAGATGAAAAATAAACACCTCTACGCACCAATGGAAAGTGCTAACGAGAAATATATGCAGTCAACTGTTAATACTTCTGTCGAATGGACAGAGTGATTTCCGGAAAGTCCATCTACGAAACTCTGGAGTCGTGAAGTTGAAGGTAAGATCAAATTTTATATATATATATATATATATATATATATATATATATATATATATATATATATATATATATATGGTGAACAATTTATTTCACATTGATAAACTTCTACAACAAAAGAATTCTCAAATTAGCAAAAAACGCACTCTCTTAAATTTTCAAAAAAAATTCAACCTTAGCGTTGTGACTGCACGCTCCAAAAGTTTTGATCCGTTAACAATAACACATTTAAAAAAAAAAAATTTCGATTCGCATTTAATTTTTTCGTCTCTGATGCTACCAGGATTTTACTAAAAACAAAATAATTTCCATACCTGAGGATGACTGAATGTAGAGTTGAAAGTAATTGCAGATTAAAAAAAAAAAACCTTATACAGCTTGCAGTTATTAAAAACAAGGATCATAGCATTAATCGAGTGATTCGTAGGTTAATGCAAAATTTTGTTTGCGAAAGAATTTCGCCATTATATATTACTAATCTCATTTTTGTATGAATAATTCATTGTAATATATATATATATATATTAATATCTTTCTCTCTCTTTCTCTCTCTATATATACATCTATCTATCTATCTATCTATCTATCTATCTATCTATCTATATATATATATGTATTATGTATTATTTTGATACCTATACTTTGGCGATGTGAAAAAATTCCTGATAATAAAATTTGTAAATAAAAAATATATTTGAACAAACCGATTCTAGGGAAAAAAATCAGTAAAAAAAAAATGTCTGAAGACATCGTTGTTGGTCGAAAATAATCAATCAGTTCCGCCATTTCTTGTCAAAAGAGAAAAAAATACCGGCAGAGTAAATTAAGCAAAAACGTAAAATACACTAAATAGAGAAGAAAAAAAACAATAATAATTATATTACCTAAAATAAATAGATATATAGTTTGTTCAACGGCGTAGCCTGAACCAGGAGTA